AATACTTTCTGATAGAGAGACTCCAAGATGTACCAGAAGAAGATAAAGAAAGAGGAGGGGGGAAGAGGAAGTTACAGACAGAAATAGCAGAAAGCGAAGAAACCAGTAAAACCTACAGCTAAATCCATTGCAAAATAATTGAACAAGGTCTATTATGAAGGTTGCACTATTTGCCAAGGTCAGCGATAAGGGTCCTCACTGTCGGCTGGAATTGATCAAGGAAAGTCTAGCTCGGTCCGCCTTCACAGCTGTCGTGGGCTTCCTCAGCAATTGTGTGGGTCACGGCTGGGTGTGCCCCCATTCTCCTCGGGCCTGTGGGTGGCTGCAAGGGTCCTTGAGCTGATCGTGGGCCGGAAGTGGGTTGTCAGCAAGGCTTCCTTTTAGGGTTTGTGAAACAAACAGACCAACAGCTGAGGTTTCCTCAAGCGAGGCAGGTGACTGTGTGTGTGTGTGTGCATGTGCACTGTGTATATGACAGTCTGGGCAACAGAGCCCTAGTCTCACTCGGTGTTTCCTTTCTGAGGTCTGGGGGTGGACGGGTGAGTACCGTGACAGCTGCTCCCTGAACTTGAGTCTGTTGGAGTGTCTGAAGTTGGCTCCCAAATCCGAATCTGCTGCTCCTCCAGCTCCTGCTGGTGGGATCAGAGGGTGTCTGAGTCCCACGAGACTGCCCGTGCCAGGACAAAGTGAGGAGAGGTGGCATTACCGGGAAAATGGGGACAGCTAGGGGACGCCCCTGCTCTACGGAGCTGCCATTTCCCGTCCAGGTGTGTTTTGCTTTCCTGAGAACACTGGTGTTTTGGGCGGGCTACACGTCGGACAGCTTCTAGCCCAGCAATGTGCTGCAGCCAAGAGTGTGTCTTTGCTGCCCAAGTGCTACAAACTAACTCCGGGCAGGGGGGTTGGGGAGTGAGAGAGGCGAGTTAGAAAAGACAGAGTCATCCCCTTGTTTCTCTGAGGGTCCCTGAGCGTCCAAGAATGACAAGCCTACCTCGGCTTGACGGACAGACAGTCGCCAGTAGGGCATGTCTCTGTAGAGACAGGTCCCCGTGTCAGTCGTGATAAATCTGCTTGAGATGAGCGTCAGTGTGGTCCTTTCCTGTCAGCCAGGGAACAGATGTGTGTGAGCATGCAGCGCAGTAGGGTATCATGGAAGGACTCACCTTTACCGAACACACAATGTTTCAACCAACATAGTTCCAAGGCTTCAAGTATTTAAATCACCTGTTAATACAATGAGTTCAACAGCAGAATATATCAAACTCATTACAATTAGATATTCAAACCGCATGGAAGCAATTTATTTACCATTTGTAGGCCTGCTAGTGGGCAAAGTGATACATCGTTTCTGGTTATGAGTGTGATTAGCAAGCAAGGGCTTTTTCCAGGAAACTTCCAGGATATTTGGTATCCAGCCTCCCTGTTCCCTTGCAAACCCCAAACTTGACATTGTAAGCAGACAACAGCGAAGGGCAGCCTGGGGGAAAAACCCTAGAGATACTGGACTAGGGTTTTCCTTCTGTATGTTCATCCTCCTCCTCCCCACCCCTTGGCTGCCCCACAGCCCACTCAGGGGTCTCTTAGAATCCTATCCACTCATGGGTCCAAGGGAACTTCCCTGTTATTCTGATTGACCAGGATCCAAAATGGATTTGGAAGGTTCCATATGTTAGCATTGTTCTGATAAAATAAAAATTGGCACCTAAATCTTTTGCCTTTTTTTTATCATTTAACCAACTTTAAGTGTACAGTTCAGTGGCACTGAGTACATTCACACTATTTTGCATTGATCGACACCATCCATCCACAGAATTCTTTTCATCGGGCAAAACAAACTCTCTGCCCATGAAACACGGACTCCCCGTGCCCTGCTCTCCCCAGCCCCCCCCACAGCCCTCTACTTTCTGTCTACGAATTTGACTACTCTAAATATTTCATACGAGTAGTCATTACAGTATTTGTCTTAAAAAAAAAACTAGCTTATTTCACTTAGCACAATGCCCTCAAAGTTTCATCCACATTGTAGTGTGTGTCAGAATTTTAAGGCTGAATAATATTGTATTATTTTTTAATTTTTAATTTTAATTTAATTTTATTTTTTTAAAGATTTTATTTTTGTTTATCCTTAGAGAGGGAAGGGAGGGAGAAAGAGAGAGAAACATCAATGTGTGGTTGCTGGGGGCCATGGCCTGCAACCCAGGCATGTACCCTGACTGGGAATCGAACCTGTGACACTTTGATTTGCAGCCCGCGCTCAATCCACTGAGCTACGCCTGCCAGGGCTATTTTTTATTTTTTGAATAATATTGTATGGCTATGCCACATTTCATTTATCCGCTCATCCTTTGATAAATATTTGGGTTGTTTCAACCTTTCGGCTGTTGTGAACATGAGTGGGCAAATATTCCTTTGTCATCATAGAATGTTTTAATCTTGTAGCAAGATGCACTAAGATGGACTTCAGTATTTACTAACCTTCTGTGACTGGAGACAGGAGCAGCTTGGGAAGCTCCCTCGGTTACGTGTCCCTACCTGTTCCAGGTCCTTTATGGTCATGTCAGATATCAGTCCGAGATCTCGATATTTCACATGGGAGTTACATGTTTTATCTAACCACATAAAGGCCCTTTGATGACCTGAACTTTTCAAGATGAAGCTAAAAATGATTTCTTAAAAGTGTGGAACTGACGGTGTCTCTGGAGGGCCAGGGGACTGGTGTCCCAGCGGTGCAGAGCCTAAGGGAGGGGCCAGTCGCATTACACAGTGTGTGCACCGAAGAGCAGGGTAAAGCGCTCTGGACTGGTCAGACGTGTACTTCGTATTTTTTCAACAATTCCTACATAGTGGTTCTGAATTCAATGTCAAAATATTATAAATGCCGCACATCAACATCATGTTACCAGGCACAAAGAATAATTTGAAGTGTGCGTTATGTTTTAGAAGTTTCAGACTGCATGCATTTTAACTCCCCCCTCCCCCCACCTCTCATCTCTTTCCGTGGATATCTTTGTGAAGGGCATGTGGCAGCTCTAACCCAATGCATTCCTCAAAGCTCTCTAGTCCACCGACGTCACTTTCCGGTTCAAAAGCACTGTTGCACATTTAATTGTATGTGTGTGGTGTGTGCGTGCAGGTGTGTGTATCGTTGGTCATTTCACCCGGCTGGGGAAGAAGGGGAGAGAGAACTTTCAGGACATACAACGCTGTCTTGAGACCGAAAGAAAATTATTATTCTTAAAAAAGATTTATTTATTTATTTTTAGAGAGGGAAGGGAGGGAGAAAGAGAGAGAGAAACATGAATGTGCGGTTGCTGGGGGCCGTGGCCTGCAACCCAGGCATGTGCCCTGGCTGGGAATCAAACCTGGGATACTTTGGTTCGCAGCCCGTGCCCAATCCACAGAGCTACGCCGGCCAGGGCCAAGAAAATTATTTTTGATGAAGGCATTGATATCTAGATGTCATGGGAAAAAAGAGCTCTCTAAATTCTCCTTCAGAAGATGTTGATGTATTGGCCATGCTCTCTTAAGAAACTTTTTCTTAAACTAAATAATTAATTTCTCAACAATAATTCCACAGCTCCCAATTTAACTCTGGCTCATTAGTCTTTTTTTAATTCTAGTGACAAATACTGAGGAGGAGATAACTTTTCATTCTGTGATTCCATAAACCCACCATTGCGTAAGAAGTTTGTTTTGAATATTTGGTTGAAGGCAAAAAATGAGCCAATAAAAAAGAATTCATGAAAGCCATACAATCTAATGTAGAATATGAGTAACATGGACTGTACTAACATACAATTTTCCAAATATTAAAAATATGATGCATGCAAATATAAAATGAAAACCTATTTACGATTTGGACTATTTTCCTCACATCACCAATTTTGAATATGTATATATGCAAGTGCATATATATGTATATAAAATGAAATATACATACACAAATATATTTAAATTTATTTATTCTGCAGGGGGGCATGGTGGAAAAGAAGACATAAGTCGATTTAAAAGTTTATTAAATTAATGTATTTTTGTCAAAAAAAATGACACGATTTCAAACTTCATGGAGAGCTGAGTTTAACAAAAACGGTCTCAGTTACAGGCGACACGCCACCATTAACCCACACTGTCCATCTCCTACTTGCAATGCAGGCTCTTATCTTTGCTGAACAAAAAAAAAAATAATTAGTAAGAATGCCTGCTGCAAAGGAGGCTAGGAAGTTTATTTTTAACTACTTCTTTTTAAGGCTGCACAACAAGTTTAGCCCTTATATGGGTGTGTTCCCGCAGGGTTAGATTTAGATCAGGCCCACGGCAGCGAGAGAAAGCAAGCGAGGGCGTGGGTGAAGCAGTGGTGGGCCCTGCTCTTGGAGGGAGACCCACAGACTCCGCGAGTTCCAGGCCTTCAAACGGAAACCTCTTTTCTTCTCCCCCTGCAGCCTCTCCCTGTCCCGACTCATAACAACTCCCTTTGGGTCTCCATCTCGGGGTCCCCCACCGCCACCAACCCACTCGCCCGTCAGACCTTTAGGTGTCACATTACTTCTTTCCTTCTCCTCCGTTCTACTGGTCGTACAGTCCAGCGCATTCCGCCCAGTCCCATCTCTCCTTGGCCGTTCCCCTCTGCACTCACCGCCAACGCCCTGCTCCTGGACGTGTCCTCTCCTGTCCGGATTCCCGCGGCAGGGCCAGGCTGGTCTCCCCGCCTCCGCAGCCCCAGGCCCGACCCCACACAGCAGACTCTGGGAGACCTTCCTGGGCAGGTCGCTAAGCTGAAGACGGGCCCTATTACAGTTTCTCTGCAACGCCCTTTACTTGGCTCGTGAGGTCTTATTTCTGCATCTTAATGCCTCTCTCTAAATATCTAAAAGACACCCTCTTGTCACTGTCTTTTTGAACGTGACTTTCTTACCTGCTTTGTTTCCTCTCCCACGTGTTTCCCATCCTGGGGGCTGGCCTTAGCTTACTTCCTCGGAGCAGCGGGAACCTCTGCCAGCCCCTCCCCCACCCCAAACTCTGTCTCCCTTTAAGGTCTTGTCACCTGGTCAAGTCTGTCGCCCTGGGTGGCCTGGGCCGGCAGCTTCTCGCCCTCTCATCTTCCCCCTGGAGCTCCAGCCACCTCACCCCAGGTCTCTTCAACCTCCTGGAAAATTCCCGCTCTTTTCTGTCCCTCACCACGCTCCCTTTGCTCCCCCGGGGGTGCCTCCCTGAGTCCCCGGCCGGCTTGGACGCCACGTTGGTTTCACACGCTTAGGGCACGATGGGCGTTTCCTTCGAGCACACTCCGAGACCCTCTGTTCAGCTGTGTCACTCCCTGCCGGGTGCCTGTCCCCACTTGTGGAACGTGCGCGCCGAGAGGGCCGGACCACGGGCCGTGCGCCTGGCAGGTGCACAAGAGAGTGAAGGGGCGAATGAATGAAGAAGTGTCTGCCCAGGCCGGTGGCGCTGGCCGGAGGCCGCCACCTCCCAGGCACCTCAGGGTGCCGTCCCCTCCCCAGCGCGGCGCCGGAAGCGGCCAGGCCAGCCCCCTCCCCGCGGCGCCTGCTGCCTTATCTCGGCGTCTGGGGCCCCAGGAGGAGACGCGGGCGCTCCGGGAGGGACGCAGCGGCATGGGCCCCTGGCCCCGGGGCGCGGGCCGCCCGCCTCGCCGCCTGCTGCCGCTCCTGCTGCTGCTCGGCCTGGCCCGCGGCGTGACTGGAGCGCACGGGGTGGACGGTGAGTACCGGCCGGAGCGGGCGCAGCACCAGGCCCGTGGGTCCTTGCTGGGCCTCCACGAGGCTGGGCGCGCCGGGACGCTTCCCCGCCCATGGGCCGGACCACGCGGGGCCCCAAGGAGGAGCCCAGGTAGGGCAGCTCCAGCCGTTGGGGATCAGGAAGGCGGGGCTCAAAGAAGCAGGAGGGGCTCCCCGCCTGGGCTTCCCTGTCCCCGCCCCAGGGCCGCCAGGGAGACCTGTTCTGGGGTGGCCTTGTTTGCGCCCCTGAGGGACCTGAGGCGAGGTGGGGGCTGGGCACTAGCAGCGCCCAGGGGTGAGCCACGCCCGGCGTGGCAGGGCGTTCCGGCTGGCCGCGAGGTCGAACTGTTGGCCCTGCTGTGACTTTTGCACGATAAATTCTAGATCCGAAGCAATCTTCTTTCCACTTCTTAATTTGTTCACCTCGATGAAGAACAAGACACTAATACGGTGAGGAAAAAGGTGTAAGAAAGTTTACAGAAGAAAGTATTCATGAACTCATTCAATAGATGGCCCTTGTTTCCCTGTGCAGGAGGCGATGACGTCTTGGTGCTGGAACTCATTGAGTTCGTATTGTGGAGGAGACAGACAAGCAAATAATCCATTTCCGGGCAGTTGGAGTAGTTTTTTCCCCCTCTACCCCATTCCAACGCAGGGTTCGATATAGTATTGAGACATGGAGGGGTGGTGGCTTTTGTCCAAATGACTGTGAGAGAAGACAGTGCTCTAGGAGCTTTGGGAAGGTGTGGGTGGTCCGAGGAGAGAGAGAGTACTTTTAGCGGGTGGGGGGGCAGGTAGTCTTGTGGCGTCATGGATGAGGTGACTGTTTAACCAGACTGGCAAGGATTGGTAATATTTGGGTATGGGAAGGCGAGGAGAAGAAGGCATCTCAGCTCACAGCAGAGGGCCCAGCGAGCGCTCCACTAATGCTGTGTGTAGAATGAATGAGTTCCGGACAGAGGGGCCGCGGCCGTGACCGGAAGCGCACCTGGGCAGGAAAGCAAGGGGCCTGTGGTTCACCTGGACTGGCACGGAGGAGGTGGCTGGGAAGTGCGGGCGGAAAGGCAGGCTGGATTTAGCGGTACAGTGCCTTACCCGGCAGACCAAGGCATTCAGACGTAGTTGTTTCTGGGAGGTGGGAAGCCATTGGAAGTCGTTGCAGGTTTTTGCACAGAGACTGATATAAGGAGTGGCTATAAGGAAACCGTCCAACTTCCTTAGTAAAACCAAACGCTGATCCTGAAGTGGATGGAAACTTCCATGTAAGGAAAAATGGGAGGTGCTTTGCAGCTCAGACTCCTCCCCCTTCCCCCCGCGCCCCACCCCCCTGCAAATTTTCTTAATCTTGGGACTTTAGTGTCACTGGTGGGTGTTTCTGTTGATGGCTCAACCTTCCGCAGTGGCCATTTTTGTACTCCAGATGCTCTGGCAGGCTTTCTAGCTTCCTTCCCGAGCTTGGTCTCCCGTGGCAGGGTACAGAAAAGCTTGTAGATGCTTGGAGCCTATTTCAGAATAATTTTTTTAAAGATTTTATTTATTTATTCTTAGAGAGAGGGAAAGGGAGGGAGAGAGAGAGAAAAAAACCATAGATGTGTGATAGAAACATCGGTTGGTTGCCTCTCACACACACCCCAGCTGGGGACCGCACCCCCCACCCCCACCCCTGCACATGGCCTGGCCTGGGACTGAACCAGCAACCTTTTGCTTTGCAGGATGATGCCCAACCAACTGAGCCACACCAGTCAGGACATGTGTAATTTTTCACATTGAATGTATCGGGGTGATATCGGTTAATAAAATGATATCAGTTTCAGGTGTAAATTCTGTAATACATCATCTGTGTATGGCATTGTGTGTTTGTCACCCCAAGTTGTCTCTTCCATCACCATTTATCCCCTGCTCTCTTTTCTACCTCCCTGAACCTCTCAGAATCTTTGTGTTAAGACCCTTTAGCCCAGGAAACTTCCTAGTGTCGCCACATTGAACTGTTGGGCTAAGATGGTTGAACACAGTGACTCCCCTAGGTCATCCTCTGCCACTCCTTAAAGGCTGTGCGGTGGATTTTGGGAAATGGGAGTCGGGACTGCCTGGTTGAGCCAGCTCTCCTTATGAAGGCATGCCCCTTTCATCTACAGCCTTGGAGAGTCTGATTTTATCACGGGCAGCTTTCCTTACAGTGGACAATGTGGGTGATGACTGGAAGCTTTGAGTCACTCAGGAAGCTGTTGCAATAGCTGGCCTAGAGGTGCTGGGGACTGTCTCCACAGTGTGACAGCAGGACTGAATGTAGAAGACAAGGGGGAAGTGGAACCGCAGGGACCTAATAACAGACATAAAGATGCAGGGAACAGAAGAGGGAAGATGGCAGTAAGGGTTGGGGACGGGGTCACTTGAATCTGTGGCTCATAGGAGGAGCACAAAGATGTCAGAAGGAAGATGACTGGTTATTTGAGATATCCTGAGCTGGAGGAGGTGTTAGGGCTTTCAGATGAAATCAATGGGGACTGGAGACTGTGGATAGTAGAAGTGTGCGGCTAATGTAAACTTGACAGTGGTCCCTTGGAGCCTGTGGTTAGTAGGAGTAAGAAGGCCAAGGACAGATTCTCGGGGAAGATCAAGGTTAGATGGTAGATGCAGGTAGAGGAGAAAGAGCAGCAGCCACTAAGGGAGGAAGAAGACTGGGTTAGCAGCATCAAGGAAAACAGGGGAGGAGAAGTCGAGGGGGTAGAGATGGAGGAGAACGCTTTGGATCTGGCGACTCAGGTCACTGGGGAGCCAGCACCAGCAGGGCAGTGAGGGCGAGAGTCAGGTGCAGGGGGCTCTAGAGCGTGCAGAGACCACTGCCGCAGAGCGGGTGCTCTTGAAAGTTAGAACGAAACAGGAGGTAGCATTCAGGGGGGCTGGCCAAGTCAGTGAAAGAATTTTTGTGTGTGTGTGGAGGGGTGAGACTCAGATATTTTAGACTCAGGCATTTTTCAGTGGAAAGGGAGAAAATACAGATGCAAAAGTAAATGAGATACTTCCCAGAGCAGGGCCAAAGGCAAAGTTGGTCTACATGTAAAAAGCTTAGTCTTTGGAAGTGGATGGAAGGAGAAGAACGGAGAACTGCCCTTTCCTTCCCCGACAGCTATCTCCTTACTGAGTCTATTTGTATTTCCAAACCAGCCCAGTTGTCTTCCCTCCCTGGAAGCCCCGTGGAATTCTCTAGTTCCTGTGAAGCACCAGCAACACCATGCCCGTGCCTCCGTATTATATTGTATGGGACACCTATACACTTACTATTTACGTAGGCATTTCTATGGTACTCTGCACGTGTCCACCAGTGTGACTGCTTACTGGACTAAGGGCTCTGTGTGAGTACGAACTGTGGCTTGTGTTAAGAACCTTGTATGGAAATAAATGAAGACCACCCAGATGAGAACAGGCACAGCAATTTATTCCATAGCAAGAGAGTCAACCACCATCACTTACATTTGTCAGAGACTCAAAGGCAGGCAGAGGAGAGCAAAAGCTTTGTAGTGGAACAAGAGGGAAGGCCCTAGTTGGAGGATGTTGGGATTGGGAAGCTGGAGTCAGCGGGAGGAGTCCTGTATGATTAGTTAGGGGAACGTATTTGGCTTTCTGTGATTGGTTCTAGGTTGGAATGCTGGAGGTGGGGTTGAGGAGCAGAGATTAGGGAAGCTGGGTGTTATTAGTTAAGCCCTGACCATTTGGGACTGATTGCTACAGAGCTTGTGGTTTGACTTTCCTGGACCAATTGCTGTAGACTATGGGTCAGATTATTTTTACATATGGCCTGGCCATCGTCCATGGGTGTATTCAGTCTCTCACTAAATTACATTGAATTGTTACCAAAGATGTTTCAGGGAGGAGAGAAGGGGGGAACCAAAGTTAGATGGCCCGAGTGCAAGGGAAGTGTGAGAGCATAGTTGGTTGAGCAGGAGGGTGCTGGTTGGTGTCTGGGTGGGGTGTCAAGCCCTAAGGGAATAGAGAGGTTAGGAAGGGGAAGGATGGGTAGAACCAGTCAGTCTGGTTTCTTGCCCTTTCTCTGTGTGTGGGAGTGGCTGGGGGACTTGTTGGCTCAGGACTGTCTGGGGTTTGGAAGGCCAGAAGGAGGATGGGCAGAGGCCTTGAAAATCTGGGAGCAATCAGTGGCAGAGAGGGTTGGGGAACATGTTCTGTCCACAGTGCACCTGACTTTACTAATCTCGCATTTCATAGGCGTGGTCTTCACTCTGTTACCGTGAATCACAGCCGCGTGTTCACTCTGTAGAGTGGGGAAGAGGAGGGAAGAGGAAAAGCAGAGGGAGTGAACTGTTCTGGAGTGACTTGCAGTTGTTCAGAGTACGGGAACAGCATTAGAGCCCAGAGAGATCACCACTGGGGCCTGTCTTCCGCCTCCAGAGAGTTGGCCCTGGGCACATCCTCAGTCTTCTGGTTAAACCCTAAAACGGGTTCCTAAGGCCTCTGTGGCCTCAGGTAGCAAGCAGCCTATTGGCCTCAGCTCTGAAGAGGTGACAGAGTGAATGAAATGACAGACTTTTAAAAAAGTATACAGCCTGCTCAAGAATGAGATAGCCTGTTAGTGGGTGACATGTGGGACAGGAACCCAGGGTGTAGCCTGAATATAGGGCCGCTTAACTCAAAAGCATTGAAATGGGGGCACTTAATGGGGTTGGTTCCTGATCTGGAGGTCAGGGGTGGAGGCTCTGCTAACAGACTAAAGGGGTCCACTTGCTGTGATGCATCAAAGCCCAATCAAACTCAAGCAGGCGTTTGCAGCCAAGAAAGTAAGGGTGTATTAATTGAGGAAATGGCACCAAGCCCAGAGTCACAGGTGAGCTAGTGCTCAAAGACCTGGTTTCCCCATGGCTTCCAGGGGATGGGTTATGCAGAGGAAAACTCACTAATCACAGAGGCTAAAGGAGGTGGGGTCGTGGTCTCTACTGGTTGGTTGGGGCCGGGGTGGGGGGTAGTCAGCTG